GATAATAATTATTGTCGTTATTAATGTTCGTAAATTTACTTCTCTCTCTCTCGCTCTTTATCTGTCTCGCGCGCGCACCGCTCTCGTTATAATAATAATATATTATAGGGTCGCTTTTCTAACGGTCGGTTCTCACAACGAGGTCGTCATCACCGTCGCAATATTATAATGTTTGTTTATCGGTGAAACAACAGTTTTCCACCCAAATTCAAGTTTTCGTAAAATATTCCGTACCGGATACGGCATCTCTGTATTACTGAACACTAACTTCACCGAAAACAGTACGGCACGACGCGTCATTGAAACAAGAGCTTTTTTCATTTTTTTCAAACTTTTGAATTCTCTTCGAAGAAATATTTACATTTCACTACCGAATTAAGAAAAGATGGAGCGACGACAGTACGTGGTTGTGTGATTTCTTGGGACGAAAAATATTAACGACAATAATTTTTTTGTCGTTATAATTAAGTAAACATTAATGGAAATACGAGTATTTATACATGATATTTTTAAGACCCGCAGCAAAATATTGATATTCTGTTAACGGAACACGGGAGAACATTTTAGTAGATCGGCATAAACATAAAAAACATTATATAACATAAATATAACAATTCTACAACATTCAATGTACGATTAAGTATATTTAAATATTATACACTTTGATTTGAACAGTTCCGTATGGATACGAACAATATAAAATGTTAAAATATGTATTGTTGATAATAACTTACGCAATTAATTTTATGTGCACGAGGTACACGTGTTTGTAAGAAATTATAACACACGCGTCCTTTGTATGATATGCTAAAACGACTACACGGTTCAGTCTGTGTAGTACGTATTATAATTAATATACGATGTTAAATTTTTATTGACATACAAACTTGGTATACAAATATACGGCTGTGTATGTATAAAATTGCGTTCCGTGAAAGATTTATGTATAAAAATCGTTAAATAAAAACTTATGTATAACATATTTGTATAAGTATATAAGTAGCTTATATTGCTGAAATAACATGGAATCGAAACCAGTATACCGGGAGTTTGCCGTAGGTACGTCAAATAAAGGGATAACTTCCGATTGCCTTGGATTCAAGTGTGCGTGAGAGGAAGGGAGGTTGAAAATGGGAGAGTAATAATACTAAAGAGAGAGAGGGAGGGAGATAGCGAGTAGGGATGGAAAAATGTTTTGAAATTATAACTCAGGGTTGTATACTATTATTTTCCCAAGCGAAAATACATATATATAAATATTTGTACATTGAATACAAAAGTGTTTTCACAAAAATTGTTCAACGACCTAGTTTATTTATTTATTTATTTTTTTTGAAACGTGTACCTATACTTTCAGCGGACTTAATTTATTTTTTTATATTTACCTACTATAATTTATTACACTCCATTACCAACGTTTGAGCCTTTGTCGCCGAGATGGCTGCCAGGCGTGTAGACGACCAAAAACCTAACGTACGCGGGGACGGTGACGGTGACGACGGGGTGCGGTCATTTTGAGCGAAAGACTTCAGAAGTACACTACTGCCTTTAACGTCGTACGATCCCGTATGGAACACAAAGCGTATATATAGAAGAACAAGGACGACGACGACGACGACAATAAACAGACGATATTTTTATTGATTATGCGATTTTATTCAGACGGTATCCGTCGTATTTATAGGGCCATATGACCGCGGCCACGTGCGTTTTGGTTTCCAACGCGTGTATTATTAATATTATTATAAACGGCGGTCGATTGCTCGACGTACGTTTGCGAAATGTCCTGTACGTTTTCTGAATGCCGTACGTGACCCGAATGATATGTTGCAGCACGTATTATTATAATATTATTGTTGTTGTACGGCAATAATACGGCCGAACGGACATTAGTGCGGTTTCTATCGGCCAACGGTCGTTTCGGTTTTCCGGAGGGTGGACGAGGAACGAGAAACAAACAAATGAAACAAACGCGAGACCCAAACGGAATAAAATGCTCGCTGCCGTACATGAATAATAGACGCGTGTCCATCGCGGAAGATGCGCTCCTGCGGACGAAGTGACATGCAAACGCGTCCGGGTGAGTTGATGGATCGTCACCTATTAACGGAGTGTTACGAGTGTTACCGCTGCGCGTGCCTTATATTATTTTTAAAATTATTACTGTTATAACACCCATCGCGGTTCTGTTATTTTTGGCGGGACGCACACGTCCGTGATCGTATAACACAATGTCGCCGAAGAGTACACGGGCATGTCGACGATGAAAACGTTGTTTCGCGTAGAAGAACGGGACGAGAGCGAAAAAGAAAGCGGGAAAATTCGCTTTCAGCAATTCCATAACGCGATGGCCGGATGATAAATTAACGTTGCACGGGAAATATCGTAGCGCGTTTCGTGTTCAGGTATCGTTTCGAGCGTGTGCGTCGCCGCCGCCGGTGCACGCTGTGTTGCGCAGGGACATTAGCACGCGGGAAAGCTCGAAAAGGGTCACACATAAATTTCGTTTCCCTTAACGACCGGAGGCGCGCGCGTGAAAAAAAAAATAAAAGGAAAAACACCTCCCCTCGGAAGGCAGGAAAAAATGTATAAATATAATACGCAAACGATGACGTGAGCTTTTCGGACGTTTTTTTTCTTCTCGCTTACCCTTGCCACCGAGGCGAGGCACTTATATACCGCTTCAACAGAAGGATTTCGTGGAAAAAATAATAATAATAATAAGAAAAAACCATGACGCTTAATAAATAAAAACGCTACGGTCTCTTCCTTCCTTTATAACGAAATTAGCACGGCCGGTCGGGCCGTTGGCGGGTCCGCAGCTGCAGCGTGTAGGTATGAAACACGATCTATCACGTCCGGTCGACCGTTTCGGGAAAAAACGAACAAACGTGAAAATCGCGTCGATAGTCGACCGGATCGCGCTGGATATAGGTAAAAATCACTCTGCGATCGCAGGTAGGAGTCGCGCAGCACCCATGGACACGTGTGTGGCGCGACGGTTTATAAAATCCGAAAAACAATTAGTAACGACGGCGACGAGGCGTTGGTGGTTTATACGACGTCCCCGCGACGTTAATTGGAAGAAAACGCGTCTTTTAGCGCGTTCGGATGTATAAAACATAAACTACATTAAGCAACGGAGCATCCGAGCTCTCCAGATAATCGTATAACATTCATTCGAGGTACCGAAAGTAAGTTTTGGCAAATTTATGGCGTCAAGTTGAATCGTAACTTATATTTTATTGCATAACTGCGTAATGTATGCGCTCGGTGTTTTCAAAAACTTCACACCGAAAACAACGGGGATAGGTGGGGGGGGATAATAAAAACTATTATTCCGAATTGTATCTATTGATCTACTAAAACCGAGGACGAACGGTAACGATCTATTGAAAACGCTGCTGCAGTAACAATCCCCGTTGTACCGTAATTATCTCGTACGAGATGTATGAACACATCGTTTTCGAGACGCTCTACCAAGTGTCGAATATTTCAACGGGCCAGTGATGGACGCAAAATTAGCAAAATTGTGTACCGAGCAACGCGTAAGTATTATGTTACGGTTTGCAAACCCTAACGTTGGGTGTGATAATCGACGAAATCCGTGTTGAAACGTTTTCCACTGCGCATCCCGTTCGATCCGTCGTAATTATTATATTGATTGCGAGCGCCACACGGTCAGCCTTCAATTTTCAGTGTCACGGCAAGTCCCACTAGCATATGATCTTTACTCGCGTGTACTTTAATCCGTAAAAGAAATCGTACGTGTATAGTTGATTTTTCCCGTCAAACGCTGCATATTTCGAGCACCATGCCAGCAACGTCAGTACATATCGTAACCGTAAAAGAAAAAGAAAAAAGAAAAATGGGCAATTGTTATGTAAATTCAGTCCTTATGTGTTTGTCACCATGAGATCGGTGAAATTGTTTTCTTTCAAGACGATCGATCGTTTATACTTTTTTCACATCGCGCACACAAACGCGTATATTGTGAACATGCACATGACGACTATTTCGGATTTTATGTCATTTTCCGCGTGATAAAATAAAGCAAAACTGAAATCACCCCATTTGCTTTCTTATTGCAGACGTACTCTTTAAAAAGCACAGAAATTCAAAGGAGTACCGAATGATTTTTCCCTATGAAAATAGAGTTCAAGATACGGGTAAAACAATGGAATATTATTTTTTTTTTGTCACCGACCGACGATCGGGTGGAGCGCAAGGATAAGGTATGAAAAAAAAAAAATAAAAAAATATGAACAATGATGAAGACATCGTAGTGTAAATTCAAAAAATGTATATCATATGTTGACTGTTTGTATAACAAAAAATATACGCACGAGAAATTGTTATTAGCATGTATTGAGTGGTAATTTTTTTCGTTTTCATGTATAGAGTTCGGTGCATTTATGCAGATGATTCGTATCAGAGCTCATTTTATGGGTGGGCCGAGAAGAATATATTTTTCACCAACCAAAAAGTAATATACGACATCAATTCAATATTTTTTACTATATTTGTTAAAAAATATTTGGTAACACGTTTGCGCTAATGGGACGGCGTAATTTGTGTAAAATATTTGTGTATGCGTACGTCAAAAGCAACGCTAAATCCATTGGGAGTATTTTATTTATTATTATTGTAATATACTACGCTCAATACTTTATTTATTCGATTAATCACAGTAATTTTTATGATTAGCATTTATTCCGTATTTATTTGACAAAAACTAGGTATTTAGTATTAATCGAAATGCGGTATAATCTAACCTAACCAGGAATGGATTTCTTGAATGGATGGTAGTAACATTTCGGAGTTATAGAAAGTAATGTATATATTACTGGAAACCTGACAAATTATTTCCAAACTGTTGAACATCAAATAATAGAATCACCACTGATCGCAATCATTTGTAATTGATTTTTTTTTAAACTTCTAATCTATTTCTAAAACAATATATGCATTATTAATAAGTGAATTTTTAACTTTCATACCTGTTGGCCATTCCAATTCTTCGAATTTGACGAATTCTTCGTGTTTACATTTTTCGAGGCGGTCGACGTCGCTATTTGTTGTTGGGTGTGATGCATAATCTGTTGAATAATATCAAACTGTTGTTTAGTGAAACTGTCCTCGCTGTCTGCCACATTTTGCGTTTCCGTCTGACCGTTCTGTCGACAGAAATGTTTTACTACAGTCTACACGAAACAATAAACTTTGTTCAGTTGTTATTAATATTTTTATTTTTATTTTATTTATTTATATTTTTTATTTTTGAAAGCAATCAATTTCACAAAAGCCTGGGTAGATTTTTTATTTAGATAAACAGTAAATAAGCTTACAATGTAATTTTCTGTCGTCTATACGATATTGGTATACGGCAATAACATGTATGTACGTTCGTCGTAAGCTAACAATAGTTTATTGGTTTTAGTTATATTGCATTTGAAACATATATTCATTTTAATATTTTTATCGTATCTTCTTTCTCCATGTTTTTGTCCTTGAGTCAACAAGTTTTTATCCGTTGTCGAAAAAATGTTCCGATACTCACGATGTTATATTAATCGAGTGATAATAAAGAAACGTATCGGTATAGTTTTCTCTCTTTGACTATGCGATATTACGAAAACAACAATTTTCCGTTTGAATGTTTGTTATACATTTAGGGTTCAAAGCGTTCAAAAGCTCGAAGTGTTATTCTTCAATAGCGCCGAAAGGCTCTTGGTGTACCATACATATGTTTTAACTTCGGGGAATTCCGAATAAATCGATGTCTTTCAAAGAATATATAAAATAATTTAGGGATACAAAAAAAAAAAAAAATAATTAAGTAAAAAATAATTTTAAGTTATTGCCAATGACGTGCATACATAAGCGGACATTACTAGCAGGGTAGTCATGCATAACGCATTAAGATTTAATATTAACAACAAATTTAGATAGGGTAACTTTATTTCATTTAATAATTATATTTCTCCAATATTCTTATAGGTACATGTTTTTACCGTTTACGGACGTTTCGAAATGGTTGAAAACAACATGGTTCTTTATTATTGTGAAAATATTGAATATTTTGGTGAGGCAGGGAAGTTCACAGAGTAATCAAGTTCTTACCCTGACTACCCCGTGCGCACGTTTATGCATGCATATATATTCTGAAAACAAAATATGTGTATAAACGTTAAAAAAATCTTTCCCCACATTCATTATAATATTGCGTGTTCACTTTAATAATTATATTCCGATTTTAAAGCGACTAAAGTGTAATGATACTATACATAGCAAAATATTTTCTAAGTGATGAATTCGTATTCAGTATAATTATTACAATAATATAATTTAGTCTTTCACATCAAATCTAAACTATTTTATTACAGTCACTATTTCAAATTTACCGGCTCGTACGTATTATATAAATATTTGTAGATAATTTTTATTCAATCAGGGGCTGTGAAATTACACGGTTCCACGGCGGCGGAGACATAGTTTAAGCGCGTGTACACACTAGGGAGGTAGAGAGTGGAATTTAATTTTAATTTTTTTTTTTTTTTTTTTTGTAAGGTAAATGACAGTAATATTATATCACTTGTGTTCCTAAGATTCCTCGTTCGAATACAATAGTCTTGCACGTTTAACAACTTATAATATTGTAGATTTCCTCAGTTGAATATAAACATCCTTCACATCGGTGATTTTAATTGTATGTAAAATAAACAATGACGTTATGCGAGTAATCCGTTAAAAAGTTCTTGCTTAAAATTTCAACTGATCGATACAATTTTTATCGTGTTAAAATAAGAATGATCTAAAACTGATATTAATTTTTTTTTTTTTATAATGAACTAAAAATCTTTAGCAGGACTTACTACGCAATACACGCAACCTGTATAACGCAGATTGAGGTAAGGTTTATTTATATTGCATAGGTATACTTTCAGTTACGACAAAATAACCGGCGTAGCCCATTGGTCACGTACAATACTGGAGTTTTTCCACGACATTTTCATTGTTCCGGATGATTGTCACGTCGTAAATGTTAAAATGTTGTATAAAAGCAGGCACTAGGTCGAACGGGAAGGAATACCATCATTGTGGTGGGTTATTATTTTATATCGCGGGAGAGAAACATCTTAGTTCTTTGCGGGAACGACGATTACGCGTTCCAGAGGTATAACAAACGTTGGCGAGGACACCGTTCGAGGGATTTGCTCTCCAAAACGGCGCGCAAGGATCTAATGATTGTACATCGCGCGGCAGATACACGTGCAGATACCACTTGGTTTTTGGGCTCGCAAATGTGCGTATACCAGAGTTCAAATACAGGCACTCGTACGACGTGCACACATATATATTGGCGGTACTAGGGGGAGGAATACAGGGATTCAAATTCTGGTGTAACATGTTAGAGGGTGTAATTTTTGTAATATTTAATCTATAATCAACAACTAGTTTGATATTTTTCACTTTTTTAATGATAATTCGTTTAAAACTCAATAAGTATGATTGTATGCTTATTGTAAGTAAACAATTGCAGGGAAAAGTATTTGATTCTTTGTCTACGATGGGGAATAATTTTAATATTTTCTCCGTGCGTAAAAATTCCTAATTACGCTCTTGCATGTGTATACGTAAGGTGTACATGACATGTACTTGTACCGTGTTGTGTGCACGTTATGTACGTACTTTAGAGAACCTAACCGACCGTTCGCTGACTCCCCTTCCACAGCGCGACGTCGGAAAGTCTTCGTTTGACCGAGATCGAATGACAAAACGCACCCGGGCGTGCGGTGACGGGGATGGGGACCGACGCGACGTCGAACTTCGGTTTCATTTCGTGACACTCGGCTCGGAAGTAATTTGAACTTATTACCTCCGAACGCCACCGCCGCCACGTTATTTCTCCATTGTCTGCGCACTGGAGCCGAGACGAGTCGAGAGGAGATCCACGCCGCGCGCACATCGGGTGCATTGGCGGAAAGCCTTCTTGCACGACGCACCCTTCATCTCTTCTTGGTTCCTTCGTGTGAGCACACACACACACACACACGCGCGCGCGCACGCGCACACACACACACACACACACACACACACACACGCACGCACGCACACACACACACACACGCACATGCGCATACACGTGAAAACGAGTGCCTTTTGATCCCTTTTGCCACCGTCTGACAACACTCTCTTCCACCCTCTTACCGACTACAAGGGTGGATTGAACTTTTAGATATAAATCGCAGTAAAACTTACTGCCACGGCTCTGCACTCTTATATACACATATAAATTATATATGTATATATATGTGTAGTAGTTTTAATGTGTTGGCGATTTGTAAGCGCGTGAGTAATTACGCCGGTCAACTGCAAGAGAGTTTATTTGCGTTTTACATTTCTTATCTTTCGGGGGTTCGAGTGTACTAGATGGTGTTTTTTTTTTTTACTCTCTCTCACTTTCTTCCGCTCTCTTTTATTTTTTTCTGTTTTCGTTTAATGATCACTGAAGAAACATTAACGAAAAGCCCCCGCGCGTCATTTCCTATATTACCCATGCCCAAAATTAGAATTTTTGTTTTTTATTCGCAACAGTGCACAATTTCATTTGCAAAAAATGTATTTTTGACTCGTAATAGTACCATTATTAATATTGTGTTGAAGCAGGTTTTTTGGACGGATAGAAATATTTTATAACATGCTCGTTTTTCTTAATTACAATAATTGTATTATACTTTGTTATTTAAATATTTTCGTAAAAAAAAAAAAAAAAACAATTTTATCTGTAAAATTATTTTGAACAAGTCGTTTTAAATTGTGTTAAATGGTCACAATTAAACAGCAAAGACCATTATTTTATTATATATCGAGAAAATAATTAATGCCATGTAAAATTGAAAATAAAATATAAGCTTGGAATGATAAAATAATTTTAAATATTCGATATAAGTCTTAGAAATTATTCGGAAATATTTTATTATATTCTTCTTTTAAATACTCTGCATTTAAATTTTATTAGGTGAAATTATTGTTTTTATTAAAAACTCCATCAAAGATATCAAATAACTATTGGATTATTTATTTTGTCGTATGCCAGATAAAATTAATGTGCGTGTGAAAACAATGTAACGGTTATTTCATTCCTCAAGTATAATAATAAAATAAAAATGATTTATATTGATTTAAAAATGTTTAAACTATGTAATATTGTATAGCCTAGCATCGCAAACGTCAACAAAATATTTATTATTGTACACAACATGTTTGTCGTATTGATAATTTATTTGGCCGGCGTGTTATTTTAAGACGAAGAATGTATGGTGGATACGTGTTATAATGGAACTGTGCAGGAATAGATTTATTTGAACTAGAAATATTTTCATCAAGTTTTTTGCATCGTCAACAGACCGTAAAAATTGTTCTCGTTGATTTCCCCCCTCCCCCCACTACAGGTATAAGGTGCGTTTTGCCGTTTCATCTATTTCGCCTGGTTTGTTTCCACGACATTAAGATAATATTCTTTTTTTTTCAACATAAAACGTTGTTTTGTAGACGTTTTGAGGTGCGACGAAAGGAAACTGAACGAAAAGAGTAGATGTAACGAGAGGTAGGGATGGGAGAAAATACGAAGGACGCGAGTAGGAGGAGGATGGTGACAAGGAGCAGGAGGATAAGAAAAAAAAACGACGGTGACGACGACGAGGAGAGATTGAACAGCGGGAAAACGGAAAGCGTAATTTAATATTCTGATGCTAACGTCTTTCGATATTGTTACATTTTCTCATCGGCTTCTCTTGCAATGACATTATCTAATTTTGCAGGCAGCGCTTAACCTTGCGCACGCGCAGGACGAGACCCGATATGCTAAGCTAGAGATCATTCTACTTTCCTGGACAATAATCCACAGCGGCAACGATGGCGTAATATCTTTCGCCAGATGCACGAGCGATTACGTACCCGTGTAATGACTTGACGTCATCGGTGTCTAATGCAAATAATCATATACACGTATATTTTATTTTTATCCAATACCTACGTTTATATCTATAAAAATATTAACAATCGTGCCCCGCTAGTAGTCGGGGTCGTTGATTTTCCAATAAAATACAGGCGAAGATAGATGGAAAGAGGAAGGGTGGATAAAAATCACCATTGAATCCTTATCGAAAATTTT